CATTGTTCCATACTCGGAGAGTGTCGAACCAGAACCGACAAATGTTGAAATTTTAGTTTTAATTTCCACCCTAGATTCACTCGAAAGTCTTCGTAGAGTGTGATCTTAGTGTACACCTTTGTCAAGAAAATTCCACGGGTTGTAACTTTCGGGCCGGGTCGAAAACCCGATATCTTTTTATTCGGGCTTCTTCTAGTTATAATTTGGGTTGGACGGTTACACATACACTTTTTTAGCACCAACGCATGTGGAATCTGTTTTTGGGTGTGGTGAATGGAATTGTGATGTTTTTGTATTATATATTTAATTTTTTGTTGAATAATAAAGACTTTTAGGAATATTTGGTGTTGAAAATGCCTTTTTTCACAATTTTCATGTGAAATTGGTCTCACTCACATGCTATGAAATCTTTGATGTGTTCTTTGGACCATTAATTATTCCATACCTTTTTTGGTTGAATTTGGATTTGGACCACTTTCAATAGTGACTATTTGATGGAGTTGGATTACATTTAGATCTTGTTTGAAAAATAGTTTTTGTAAAAATAGAAATTAGTTATATTGAATAAAGCTTGAAATTTTAGAGGTATTGCATAACGACTCACATTTGGTAGCTTTTGTTACGATTAGCATAGTGAAAAATTAGATGAACCAAATCACACAAAAAAAGAAGGTATTTTCAGAAAAATCTGAGTCCTAAGTAGTTAAAAATAAGTTCCAATTTTGTTTCGAAGTTATTTGGAAACTTGAATATTTAAAATTCAAATTTTTTTTGTTCCCATTAATGTTCGGGTTGAAATTTGCGGAATTTGAAAATTGTATTTCTTTATTCATATTGATGATGCTAAAATATAGCTCACCTGGGGTATTATAGAAAACGAGCTGGGAGAGCAAAGCTGATCAGTAGCTAGTCAACTTGATGATCCTGAGGTCCCTGCGAAATAAACACACGTGAACTAAGCCGGGGGTTGATCCGGCGGAAACCCCTCCGACGCTCAAGTCAGATGTACGGATCGTAGAGATAGTGGAGAGAATAAAACTCGAGATTGATTGTGAATAATTAGAACCTACCTTTACAAATGAGTAAAATATCTATTTATATGTCGTTGATTGGGCCCAAGCCTTACTTTGAAGGTACTTGGGCTTTCGTGTAATGGGCCCAATTGTACGTGATTGGGCTTTCGTGTATCGGCCTATTTATTAGATAATTTAGGGCCCATTGGGTCGGCCCAATTAGGTATATCACATATATATTATAAAAATAAGTAGGACTGGTAAAATATAAGAGTAAATAACATTTACCCCTTGCTGTTTGAACTTTGTTCAAATAATCCACTTTTATTTTTAATATAGCACATGATCCTCTTGTATTTTAATATAAGCACATAACTTTCTGTATTTTTAAAAAAATCTTCTTCCAATTGAGCATGATTATTTACCAAGTCGAATACCGTAGGGAGGTTAAGTGCTTATATTAAGAGTACAAGGGGGGTCATATGCACAAAGTTCAAACTACAGAGGGTAATGTGCTTATATTGAAACTACAAGGGATCATATGCACAAAGTTTAAACCACATGGGGTTAAATGGTATTTTTTCAAAATATAATCCATAAAGACATTAATTAGATGGGCCAAATTACAATTTACCGAGATGGGTATCTAAATGAAATGGGCCAAAATTGCTATTTCTAATATTGGGCCGAAATTATACACAAATAGATAAAATTAAAAGAAGGGTAAATTCCACTTTCACCCCTTATACTTTGGCTCAGTATCACTTTATCTCCACTTATTCTCGATTTCATCGATTTGCCCCCGTACACATGAAAAATGATCTCAATGTGACACTCTCCGTTAGTTTTCAGACTTTTGACCGATAACATCATTTGATAAAAAAAAAAAGTAAAAAAATTGCGACTGCCGTCACAGGCTATGCTTTCTATTTGTCTTAATTTTTTTATTATTGGTTCTTTCTTTTTGTTTTTTTTAATAATTATTTAATTTTTTTTTGAAGGCTAATAATTATTTAAATTGGGTGAAGTAAGTTTTTTGTAATTTCAGAACTTAGACTAAACGATATTAAAATGAAATGTCTGATAATTAAAAGCGATGACCATATTGAGATAAATTTTCAAGTAAATATGGACAAATCGATGCAATTAAGAAATAAAGTGATAAAGTAATAGGCAAAGTATAATTTACCTACACTGCCAAGGTGGTCTGGTCAGCATGGAGGAGACTGCAAATTTTGAAATTGTAGAGAGAGAAAGAGGAGAGAGAGAGATACAGAGACGCATGGCAATCAACTCGCGGCAGTCATGCAAGCCCTCTGCTTTCCGTTTGCCAACGCGTGTCCTTACTGGTTCACTTCCCCAGATGCATACTGTTCAAAAAAAAATTCACCTCTCAAAGATAAGCTCCAACATATGTATGTATATGTGTATGTATGTATCTTCAATTGGGGCACAATTTGCTTGGAAAATTAATCGCCCATCATCAGGTACGATTGCGCTGCTAAAATCACACCTCTTTCACTTTCGTAATTCAGTTTCTGTAATTTTGTATGTGGTTTAATTTTCTAGTTTCGCAGGATGGAAAATGGGAGCACGAGTTGTGTAGAAATGGTGGAATTTCACCCCCAATTGAATGGGGTTTCTGATTCCGAGGAAGAGAAGAGCAGATTGAGGTGGTTAATTGACGTAGGGTTGAGGTTAGGGAAGAAGATCGTGATTGCAGGTTTTGTGATCACATCTGCGCCGTTGATTCTTCCTCCTCTGGTTGTTGTTTCGTCGGTGGGTTTCGCCTTTTCGGTGCCGTTTGGTGTTGTGTTCGCCAGCTATGCCTTCACGCAGAAGCTCATGAGCAAATTGCTGCCGTCGCCGCCTCTGCCTTTGCCGTACGGTGGGAATGAAGAGGAGAGAGAAGAAATGGAGGCTGTGAAGAATGGGATTGAGTTTGTGGATTATGATGAGGGTTTGGATGTTGGGGACGGATTTGAAATTGTTTATTTTGAAGAATACGATGGGGGTTTCGTAACTAGTGTCGAAATCTGTGGGCTGAATGAAGAGGGGATTGTAGAAGAAGAAAGTGGGGATATGGTTTGTTTTGATTCCCAACAATTAGATGATTATGGTGAACAGGGTTTCGTAGGTAATGTCGAAATTTGCGGGAAGCGAGAAAGTGGGGATGAGGTTTGTTTCGATGCCCAACAATTATATGATTATGGTGAACAGGGTTTCGTAGGTAATGTCGAAATTTGCGGGAAGCGAGAAAGTGGGGATGAGGTTTGTTTCGATGTCCAACAATTAGATGATTATGGTTTCGTAGGAAATGTTGAAATTTGCGGGAAGCGAGAAAGTGGGGATGAGGTTTGTTTTGATGCCCAACAATTAGATGATTATGGTTTCGTAGGAAATGTCGAAATTTGCGGGAAGCGAGAAAGTGGGGATGAGGTTCGTTTCGATGCCCCAAAATTAGATGATTATGGTGAAGATAGGGAATTGCAGGGTCAGAGTAATGTTCGTAGTTTAGAAAAGGGTGATGATACCTTAGTGGAGAATGAGGGTGGAAAGAGTATCTTGGAGAGTATCGAAAATGAGGTTTTATTACAAGTTCAAGGTGGTACTTCGGTTGAGAATAAGAGTGAAAGAAACGTCTCGGAGAAGATCGAAGGTGAGGATTTATTATTACAAGTTCGAGGTGATACTTTGGTGGAGAATGAAGGTGGAAAAAATGTCCCGGAGAAGATCGAAACTGAGGATTCAGTACAAGATCGAAATGCGGGAGTGGAGATGACCACCGTAGCTACGGTGAGAGTGACTGACAAGGACGAGAAACGTCGTAAGGGAAAACGGGGAAAAAAGAAAACTTTAGCTGCTGCATTTAAGTTACCAGAAAAGGGTAAGGAGCCAGAGGTTGATAATAGACACGAAAAATTATCCGGAGAAGACGACAAAGGGGTAGTAGTGGAAAAAAACAAGAAGAATGTATGTCCGAAAGTTGTTGTGAAAGAGGAAAGTAGGGATGATAAGAAGCAAGTTGGTGAAGAGAAATGCGTAGTGCTTGAGGGCGAAAATCTTGATGTTAAACAAGTCTCGTTGGAGAAAGAAAACGAGCCTGTGAAGTTGAATGAAACATCTGATGTGACGAATGGCGGAACTATTAGTTATAAGAGCGCTACAGTTGTGGTGGCCACTGAAACTGCTGAAGGTGTGTGGTTAGAAAGAATAAATGAATCAACTTCTAAATTTAACCAATGTTTTTTATCGTTGATTTGATTGTCGGTTTAATATATATACATTTTTTGTCATTTACAGGAAATTCAGTGAAGATTGCTAGTGGCGATTCTGTTGAGGTCAGTGAAAAAGCTATTTATCATCTACGGAGTTCAATGTTATCTGATGTATTTATATCCCAGTTTCCGCTAATATTCACTTTAGAGTTCTTGTTTTTTTTTTCTCGACAATCGAAATCATCGTAATGTTAGTTGTACTATATTTTTATATGCATCAACACCGATCTTGTTTTCCTAACATATCATTTGCTCGAGGCATCAAAAGCTATAAATGTGATCGAAATAAATTAGCAATGCTTTCTGAACGAGTAACTCTGAAACGAGCAAGTTATATGGTTATTTATATTTAATACACTTGCATGGTAATTCGTAATATATTTAGCACACTCGTTTTGAATTTGTTGCCATTTATATGAAGGGCTAGATTATATGCTGATTATATAAACAGGTAAGTTGTGTCCCCACATTTTAGAACCCGACTCTTTTGTCCAAGAACTTGACGTTGTATTATGATTCGTGTATGTATCGATTTAATAGAATTTAGTGATAAAGAAATCCTATAGTTGTACGTATTAGGATGTTATTTGGTGAAATGTAGTATTATTTCACGACAGATGATCGATTTTTTTTTTTTTTTTTTTTTTTTTTTTTTGGGATAACACGAAATTTTGTATATTATGATGTTATTTTGGTGAATTGAGTTTCCACGAGTATTAGTCGATAGTCTATATCCGCTAGACTAAATTATTGAACTCTGAGTCGAACTCTCCTGATTTTGTGTTTAACAGGGAATGCGCGATGAAGAAGAGATTTGGAAAAAGATAGATGCAATAAGAGTGATAGTCGGTTTTAAAGCTCCAAGACGTGCTTCGTATTTCGAAGAACTCAAAGCAATGTACATCTTCACAGGTATCGAGCCTCCGTCGGATCTTACCATGGACCACTCATCATCTGATTCTGGTGCCGATTTTCGGAATAAGCTCCGTTTTCTTATGTCTGTAATTGGTTTAAAATGATTGTAGTTTTTGCTTAAATGTTACTGTTGAATTATGGGATTTGGATTTACTACTAATTTTGCTTTTTTGATAAAATATCTGTAAGCATTAAATGTTTGATTTAATTCCAGTTTATAGCAGAGATTGGGTGGCCAACCATTATCGTTGAAAACTCCGTCTTTGATTTGCTCCACAGATATTTCCAAATTTCCACGTCATCTTACTTTGTAGTAATTACTAATTAGAGATTGGTTGGTTGGGTGTGACATTCATTTAATGCAACATTTAATACAAATTTAATCTAAATTCTACTCATACAAATTTGTGCTTTTACTTTCTTTCAACATTTTCAGGGCTCGTTTGCTTATTTGTATCAGATTGAATCAGATCTCTATTAATATAGGTAAGCGAATGAGGTCATAATATGTTTGGTTCTTTAGCTTATATTTTATCTAAAATCTGTTTGGTTCTCGTATTATACGTGAATTGTCTATCAAGTCTCCCTACAACATTAATCATAGGGGGTGCGGTACTAATTTTATGAAGTGTTAGTATTTAATCGGGGCTTCTATTTTAGTAATGAGCTTAAGCGACCTTGAATCTTAACAATCAAATATCTTATTAACTTCTGCTATTTAGTCAATCTAATATAATAGTTGCAAGCAAATGAGTCCTCCTACTAATAACTCATTCATCTATGCTCTGTTAACACTTTTATTTATCATCTTTTCTTCGGACATTTTTTAGGTAGGAAATTTTTTCGGTCGAATTTATTGCACATGACTATCGTACAAAGCGAAACCCATCAAACTATTTTTTAAATAGACTAATGAATGAGTTTCAAATAGTAATTAAAGAGGTTTCTTATATCTAAAATATTACTTGATGAAGACAAACGTCACATGAACTAGTAATCTCAAAACTAAAGTTACAAGCTTTTGAATAAGTGATTTTCTTTTTCTTTCGAGAAAATTAACCTTCAAATTCGAACCTTCTTCTCAAAGTAATCTCTCTCTCTCCTCTTTCTCTCTCTTCTCTCTTCGCCGGACCAAAAATTCGCTCCCAAAAAAAAGCATGGAAACTCAATTGATTACAGTTGCCGTTTTAATCTGAGCAGTTCGATTGATCAATCGTCGGAAATGCAGTGCCCCACCCATGCCTTCATCTTCAACGCCACTCAGTGCGCCTGCAACCCTGGCTACCTCTTCAATTCGAGCAGCAGCAGCACCAGCTGCTCGCTCTTCGCCGCCACCGGACCGGCGGTGGAGCTGAGCAGCGGCGTCGACTACGACTCCGCCCTCCCCTTCCCGGAGGCTATATTCTCCTTCGACTCAATCAAAAAGTTCACCCAGTCTCAGGCCGTGTTTCTCGAGGCCACGCTCGTGCTCCTCCTCTGCTGGCTAGGGTTCTGCCTCCTCCTCCGCCTCTCCCCCCTCGGCTCCGACGGCGTCTCCCCCTGGTTCAGGATCCGTTGGTGGATTAGCCGCCTCGACATCTCCTTCTCCACCCGCCACTGGCTCCACGACCAGAAACCCCTCGTCAAGCGCAAAACCGAGCTCGGCGGCGCTTTCTCCATCGCCAGCTGGATACTCTTCATCGGATTGTTCGCCGCGTGAGTACTATTATCACACTTCCCCAATTCTCTTTCTTCCTCTGTATCAATTACATTATAATTTATGTGACCACTCAACTATTATAGCTTACAGATTGCTGTACCAAACCATATCGAAGAGGAGTGTCGAGGTGCATAATGTTAGGGCTGCAAATGCACCCGATTTGGCTTCATTTTTGAATGACTTGGAATTCAACATCACCACCATTTCCAGTATGAGCTGTGCTCAGTTACGTGGCCTGGGCACCGTAGTTACTGGAAATCCAATCTTAATGGATCGAAGAGCTGTTCCTCTTTCGACTTTCGCTAACTATTCTTGCCTGAACACCACTTTAGGACCAACCATAACTATTCAGTGCAATAACTGTCGGCTTATTAGAGACTTCACCTATATCACGTGGCAGTTCGTCGATCTTCCGAACAGTCCGGCAACTGCTGTTGGATTTCAGTTTAACCTTACTGCAAAGAAACATGGCGACAAGAAGCGTTTGAGTTTTGTGAGTGGGACTCTGAAAAATGCCTCCGATTTTGATGACAAGCCGGTTACGTATAGAGGGGTTATCCCGAATGTACTGAAATTCAATTTATTTCCTAGAATCTACCGGAATTTACACGACCTAAAGATAATCCAGCCTCTGTTTCATGAGTTTCTTCCTGGCTCGTATTATGGTGAGGTGAGTCAGCTTCAGTCGTCGCTTCGGAGCTCGAGCGAGGGACTGATCAACACGACATTGTTTATCAATTTTCTCTCGTCATACATTGTTGAGATTGACAGTCAAAATATTTTAGGACCCGGTGAGTTATTTCTTTATATTTATATGCCACATCCTTCTTTTAGATTTGTCTGCGTATTTGTGCTAGAAGCTTCTATATTTTACCTTATATGCTCTATATTTACGATGGGCACCACTCCATTTGGAGTAATAATTCCTGACTATGGCGATGTTCCAGTAATCTTGTCATAATGTTCCCTTTGAAAACCTTGATCATTGCAGTAATTACGAATTTTCTCGAATTTTACTGAACATTTCTTGAACATGAATTGTCTCAAGTAAAGTACACTTCAGTCAATAATTTGATATCACTTTCTTTTGCCAAAAATGCAGTGAGCTTCCTTGCAGATCTTGGTGGCCTTTATTGCATAAGTATTGGTATTTTTTTCTTCCTCTTGGTGCAAGTATGGTTCATACTAACTCTATTTCCTTGTTCCAATACTTCTTTTATTTTATAATTAATTTCTTTTACATAATTAATTGCTTGATGAGTTTCCTTTCTTTTCTTTTTCTTTTATTTTAATTGTTTTCTGTTTACTGATAGTTGAATCTAGATTTATATCATTGCTCGTTGATATCCATGCTTCACTTTTGTTAACTTGCTTGAAGATGCAATAGGAAACCTCTGGATTTGTCTAAGATTCCATTTTCTGAACGTTTTGACATCTTCACCTTCACATCGTAAATTTGCAGTTGCTTATTCATATGTTAAATATAAGTAGGTTGCAGGTTTTTCATTTCAATTCATAATTATGTAATAGCATTCAAATTCACCCAAGAAACTTTGTATCATAATATATCGAGAAAATTGTCCAAATTATTTTTTCGGATAATTATATGAACACAAACTTCTCTGACAACTATAGGAATAATGTATGAATTAATTTGTTAATCCTGTTAAGATTCTCTTAGTAAGTTAAGGAACAAACTTATTCATGAGTCCGAAGTACCGTGAAAGAGTATCCATCTCGTGATGTATAAAGCACACATTTTTTTGGATTGTTAACTATATAAATTGTTGAACTCAGAATGGCCATTTTCCGTTGCTTTCCTAATATTCCTAATGTTTCTCATTTATAGTGCGAATATAGAATCAAGAGACTTCGACACGAGGATACCGTAATGAAGAATATCAGGAATCGTCGAAAAGCTCAAGAAAGGTGGGAGAGAGTAAGCTTTCTTTCTCCACTCAGAAATCTACATAAAAATAGATCGGTTTGGTTTTTATTTACTTCCATTTGGCTGTATATTAGCTATTTACAACATTTGAGAAAGTTCCAAGTTAATCTGTTAATCGAACTAATTAGTTTCTTGTTATCTGTATATAGTTGAGAAAATATGTGAGGTACACTTGGGGATCTAGCTCAATGGATGACATGAGAACTGAGCCAAACGATGTAAATTGCATGGGTGTTATGAAGAAATCGCAAAATGGGTCTGCACAGAGACGTAAATTGCCAGGAACTATAGATTCTGTCAGTTTTAACAAAAAGACCACCTTACCAAATGAGAAGGTGGTCTATGATTTATGCCTCAGTACCCTTTTTTATTCTACTTAGTTTTTGTTCTCATAAGATTAACCGAACATCCATAATATTTTTTTAATATATGGCTGCAGAAAACAGAACCAAAGCATGTTGTAACTCAAGAGGTCGAATCTTGCATGAACGAAAACCAAGATGAAGGGTCATCTTTCCCAAAATGTAAACGAGTAAGTTGCCCTTATTTCTGCTTCTATTCTCAATATCGCAGTTTTTATGAATCCTTGTTTGGAAACATAGTTTTTAGCCAGACATACTATATGCTTTCTCGTATATGTTTAATGAAATGATAATTTTGTCTGTCATTGTGTGAAACTTTTTCCCGATAAGTCTTCTTTTGAGAAGCTTCGGAGTGCCTTTTTTTACTGGTAATGGTGCAATGTATCGAGGGAATAGTCGTTTTTTTGGGGTTTTTTTTTTTTTTTTTTTTTTCTTATGATGTGAATCTATTAGACGTTTATTGTGTATATTTTTTTTTGAACTGTGTGTTCAGGAAGATCTGCTCCATGGAAATGTAGAAGATAGAAGATGCGATGATGAAAGTAGTATTAGCTCACACCATGCAGATCTTCCTCCTCTTCCATCATGCGGTGAGTGCTAAAATTTAAAGATCGAAACTTTCAGCATAATGCAATAAATAAAAACGAGAAGATAAATTTTCAAACATAATTAATCATTATTTATCAGTAACATTTATTGCTATTTGACAATATTAATTTTGAATAGTAAGTACTGATAAATAATGATTAATTATGTTTGATTTATATAGTTTTACGATATCATTATTGATCGTAATTATTTCATCTTGTAGTATTGGTATCTTACGTATTTGGTTGACAAAAGCAATTATCTACACTTTTGATATCACATTTGACAGTTTTTTAAATTCTCGTTTTCTGCAGAATTTGGAGATTCTGGTGAAATAAGTATGAACGATATTCAGAAGAACCTTCAAAAACTATACGAATATAATGTGGCGTTGAGGGAGCAGTTAAAAATTGCCCTTTCGACAAACCACGTTCCAGCGGACAATGAGTCGCCTTCAACGATTCGATAACACAAGTAATGCTCTATCCTAATTGTTGTGAACGAAAGAATCGACTAAGAAATTACTTAACTTTGGAGTATGGAGGCAAACTGGTGATGATCCTTTTCCCCCTTTTCTTTTTCTTCTTCGGAAATTTTAATTAATTTATTATTATGTTGTGGGAGGTGGGGGTCGGCTGGAGGGGGAATGATGCATTATTAAGAAGGATCGAGGGTAAATATTTTTTATGCGTGTAAAAGTAGAAATTATATTGCCATCATTTGTGTTGTTTTGATTGTAAGACTAGAATTCCAGATTTTGTAGATGCTACACCCTGTGAAATACACTGGGTGATTTTCTGCACCATTGATTTATACATAATAACACACAAACCCATGTGTATGTGTGTTCAGTGGGTTGTTATTTGTAATAGATCTACGGTGCAAAATCACCCGATGCTTTTCACCAGGTGTAGCATCTCATTGACATGGATGAGATGTATTCGAATGTGTGATCGTGTAAAAGGGTAAGGAGAAAAAAAAAGTGCATCTGTTGTTTTTTTTTTTCGAAAATATAAGTCCTCACTGTGAGGTTTACATTTTTTGTACGATAATAGATTTGTATACGATGTTGAGACATTCATGATGGATAAAACAACCGAATGCGACGAGATGTTAAAACGGATATTTGGAACTCGATGTATAATGGGTTGATCCAAATAAGATATTATGAATTTAAAATCCTCAACTTCTAATCTACCAATCGTAACGGAAGTTAAACGAAAACGGATAAAAGAACTGATAAAAATTAAACTCTCGCAAAATATGTCAAAATATATGCAAGTGCACTTCAATACATAAACAAAATATAGAAGTACCAATGCATGTTCTGAGAAAGCATTAAGATACATGTACAATCAAGAACTTAGAAAATATTAGACACAACAAAACGAATAGAGTCAGAAATACGATCCGAGTAGATTGTCTATTTTACCATTATGCGAAAAAAAAGGTTAAATTTACCTAAATTCAGCAACCAGTTTTCTTCGTTTCGTTCATATTTCTACGATCCATTCTCAATGCATTAGCAAACAATCTCTTTGCAGCACCCATATGCTCTTTTCTCAAATGGTTTTCTTGACTGTCGATATCCTTTTGCTCTGCTACAGAACGTCCCTTGATTGATGTCAAGTCGGTTGTTTTCTTGTGCCTTCCGCTCGTAGAAATTTCCATTTCAGGTTCACTTAATCCGATCTCGTTTTTCATCACTTTATTCGTTTGGCCAAGTGCACGTGTTATCATGCGACGAGCAACCACGGGATCTTTTTTCGGCCTCTCCTTCACCAGTTTTGTCTCGCTGGAATCTGATGAGAATATCCTTTCCCGGGCGGCGAAATAATTCTTTTCTCTTTCCTCGAATGATGATTCGCTCACAGTGTTTTTATCCGTCTGGCCTGGAGGAATCATAAAAGATTGTCTGCTTGTTAAAGCCATCTAAATAAGACGGAGAATTTGCCAATGCATTAGTAAAGAAATGAATTTCCATCCAAATGAATCTATTAACCTCCATCTGAGTTGCATCTCGTGTAAATTAATTATTTACCCACCGCAAAAAAAATGAGGAAGAAGAAAGAGAGAAGACAATATCTCATGAATCGTATATAGGAAGGTCTATCAGAAACAATATCTCGTCACCAATCCCATTACGTAATCAGAATAAGCAAGTCTAGTCAAGAAACGAAATTAATACAGCAAATTGCTTAAATTCGGGACTTGCGAAATACAGTACTCACCTGGCATAACTTCCTTCCGTCTCAATACATCGTAAGTCCTTGGTAATTGAATTTCACCAGATTGCAACAAGAAATCGCTGACAAGGATAGACGGCCTGCAATTTTCACTAACGCCATTATTCTAGAATTTTGGGGAAGAACTAAAATGCATATATTCTTATGTAACGGAGCTTCACAGCAACATAATGAAATCTAATAATTATTACGGCCACCTTAAGAAAACATGTCATGAAAAGAATGAATCACGTACATTGATGCCTCTGGGCAGCGCTCCAAAATTAAGTGCCTGTCTTCTCCTTCACCGACAGATTGATGAGAAAATCTATCATGGTAATACGATAGCTGTACGTCAAATATTTAGTGAACAATTTACAAAGTTCATTAACCCTGGTATGTAAATATTACACTAGAGAATACCTACTTAATAATATGAATACATGCGGATAGGATTTAGGAAACAAAAATACCCGAAAATGTCAGCAAGACGATGAACGAGCAGGCGACTATAAGAATTCATGGGTTCCAGCTCAAGCATTCCATCTGAACTGCATACAAAACATTTCATTCAACTTAAATTTTCTTCGATTAAAGTTTTTCGCAGATGTAAGTCATGTAATTGGTCAATGTAAAGGAATACACCGAAGATCGAAATACATAACCCAATTGTGGAGAAAAGTATTATAAATGTAGAAGATAGAGACAGCTGTGGATCGATATGAAGGGTTATTCAAGAATGAGGTGCTCACCAAATGCTTGGTCAAAACACGAACAGCTCGTATTAGAACTAATTACTAGAGAAAATGCAATAATAGTTATGCATTTCTCTTACAATATCTGTTAGTGATATTAACCAAATTTACCTCGTATCATCCTGAAGAAAATTAACGAGTGCGTCTTCCACGGACAAAATAAGATACTTGCAATGAAGATTATCTTTAACAAGAAACGCCAGCTCTTCGACCTGCACATGAACTAGTATTAGGACCAATCACGGGAGGGAAGTCTTACTGTCTCATACATACAGCATCTGCTACAAAATACACAACAAGTACGAAAAACTCGTTCCTCTTTCAATTTCTCGAGACATTCAAACCAAGCTCAGAACATGGTAGCACACTAGCAGTCATGTCACTATAACCCTAAATTTTTAAATTAAGAAAACAGGAACTAAAAACTATAATTTTCTTCTTCATGTACAATTTGAAATTTCAAGATAAGAAAGAAAATAAACGACACACACACACACACACACACACACACACACACACACACGCACAGAGGACACCATAGTTTAAGTTCAAAAAAGAATCACGAACTCCATAGCGTACAATGGAAAGAATTAGAACAAGAAGAACGGCGATAAATAACTTCATTCATCTCCGTATCGGATTCGTATTTAGAAACTTTTAAAATGTTTGCAAGAATCCCACTTCCCATTAGGGCTGAAACGCAGTTCCCTACTTCGATACATTCTGAAACATTTCTTTCTAATTTCAACATCACGGTGTCTTCATTTCATATGATATATATAGGCATCCATTTTTCAAGAAATTGAAAATTAAATTATTAAAAAAGAAAAAAAAAGAAAAAAAAAAGGGTTTAGGTAAACAAGTACACAGAAGAACTACTGGCAGATAAGATTATTGCGTCAGCTAATGATTAATTAGGTTTCTATTTCCATTTTCTTCTTATCCCAAGCATAAGAATTCACGGGCTAAAATCAACTCAGCAGTTTCGATTGACTAGAAAGAAAGCATAAACAAAAACCTAAGAAGCCAAAATTATTGGTAAATTTGATAATAAACATAAAATACTTACCATCGAAAATTCAGTAGAACTCATCGGAATCGACGGTGGTAACTATTTATCAATTGTTTCAGTTTCGGAATTTCGATTCGCCGGCGCTGCCAATTCGTCTCCGAGCAACCAACCCGTTTTCTGTGGATTTTGAGTTTTTACTGCGCCTGCCAAAACGGAAAGTCTTCTGTAACTTATAACATATTTCAACTTTGGTCCTACTAGTTACGAGTTTTTCCACATTGGTCCTAATAATTTGTGAATTTTAATTATATATCCATTTATAAAGTTGCTTCCAAACTCGTATAATAACTCGCAAACCATACGATGGTGACAAACTCGACCTAGAGATCGGTAGCAAGATGATTCGAATCTGAGTCAATTGAAACAGACTCACTTGCTCAAACCGCTTGGCAATCGATTCTTATGGATTGGGAGTTAAATTATATATAATTTTTTTGGATTTCAGTTTCTAATATAATATCCGAAAATAACTACGATAAATCCGATTTTTTTCCGAAATATTCCGTTATATAATAGTTTTATATTAAAAGATATTATATATTATATATTTTAATAAATGGGATTATATTAGTTTGGGTAAATTTCACTTTACCCTCTCTTACTCTGCCTGAGAATCACTTTACCACCTCGTTCTCTCAATTTCATCGATTTACCCAATTGTACTTGTACAATTTCCCAATACAGTCATTTCCTTCAACTTTTGTCAATTTTGACTCTGACGCCGTTTGGTCAATTTTGTAAATTACAAAATTGACACTGTCTATAACGCGTCGTTTCTCCTCCGTCAATATTGTCATTTCTTCTTCTCCCACCACTTTCCCTTCCAAGATATCCCCAAATTGAACCCCTAACTTAGTAAAAATCAAGACCCAAAAATTGATCGATTCCACCCAGTGCAAAGAAAAAAATATATGAATGTGCGAAACTTTCTCTTTTCTAATCTCGAGAGTCAAAATCGAAAAAATTCAATATTTACGTCAATATTTTGACTCTTGACCAAATGGCGTCAGAGTCAGAATCGAAAAAAGTTGACGAAGAGGGTTGTATTGGGAAATTGTACAAGTACAAGGGGGTAAATCGACGAAATTAAGAGTACGAGGGGATAAAGTGGTTCTTTGATAGAGTACGAGGGGGTAAAGTGGAATTTACCCTATTAGTTTCTACTTAACTCATTAAACAAAGATAATTATTTGTGATTCATTTTAAAATTTCGAACATTTCCAAAAATTGTCCGGATTGTCATTTTTTCGGAGTTGAAATAAATTTTGAATTTCAAAATTTTGAAATCGGAATTAAAATGGTACTAGACTTCAAAAAAATAATTATAGTTTTTCCGAAAACCTTAGTTTTGATCCAATACTTCCGACTTGGATTGTTCTAAAATCTAAATTTATTTATAAACAAAAAAAAAAATCCTTTATATGCAATAGAGTCTAATATAGCCAATAAACAATCACTCACTTCCTTTTTCTTTTTTTATTAATATAAAAGAGATTTTTATGTTATACCTTTCTTTATTTTAATCAGGGTAAATTCCACTTTTCCCGTGTACTTTGGCTGGATATCACTTTACCCCTTGTACTCTCAATTGCATCGATTTGCTCCATTTACTTTGGTTCGGTATTACTTTACCCCCTTCTACTCTCAATTGCATCGATTTGCCCCCTGTACTTGAAAAATTGTCTCAATGCGGCCCTCGCCGTTAGTTTTCAAACCTTTGACCTTAACACCGTTTGATCTAAGTTTGAAAATTATAAAAAAGCCACCCCCAATTTAAATAATTATTAATAAAAAATAATTATGGCTGGCGTCGTGGACTATGTTTTCTCGCTGTCTTATTTTTGTATTATTTTATTTATTTTAATTTTTTAATAATTATTTAAACTCGGATGGGTGACATTTTAGTAATTTTCAGACTTAGATCAAACGGTGTTAAGGTCAAATGTCTTAAAACTAACGGCGATGGTTACATTGAGACAATTTTTCAAGTACATGGGGGCAAATCGATGCAATTAAGAGTAGAAAGGGGTAAAGTGATATCGAGCCAAAGTACAAGGGGATAAATCAATGAATTAAGAGTAGGAGGGGGTAAAGTGATAACAAACCAAAGCACAAGGGGGCAAATCGATGCAATTGAGAGTATGAGGGGTAAAGTGACATCCAGCCAAAGTACAAGGGGGAAAGTGGAATTTACCCTTTTAATAATCAATTAATATACCAAAGACAAGTCAGCCACCGCCCGCCATCCTTATATTCCTCCCTAGCCACCGTCCACCGTCCGCCGCCGCGGTGAATTGCCTCCACACGCCACCTAATCCGGCCACTACATGATTTTCCCCATCGAACTGAGATTCAATTCTATTTTCCTGCTCCCCCTCACAATCTTCCTCTTTTTCGCCTGAACAAATCACCCCCCTCCAAGGGCTCTGGGAATTTCCGTCCGGCGATTTAACCATAAATTAGGGCATGATTTCGCCGGCGGCGGCTTCCGTTTCGCACAGACCTCTCAATTTATGCAGCGTCAGCAGCAAAGGCAACACTCGTCGGAGCTGTAAAAGCCGCTCTAATTTATTGCCATCCTTTTCAGCATTGTCGGTTTCTTCAGCTGATGACGATGTGTGCGCAACGAGAAATAGGGTTTCGTGTGCTTGCGTCGCGCCGCCTCACGACTTCAGACCTGCCAAATTCACTGTAAAACAAATCATCTTTCATCAAATTTTATGTTCTTCTATTTATAATTTACGGTTTTTAAAAATTGGGGATGGGTATATACCAAATGCAGCATTTGAGTTTGTTTTGGAGCAACCAACCAACTCCTGTTCTAGAGTTTATTACCAGTTTTTGTAGCTATTTGTTCTTCAGCTTGGATCTGAAATAGTTGCAATTGAACTGTTTTACGCGTATGATCTGAAATAGTTGCAATTGATCTGAAATAGGCTTTTAAAAAAGTAGAATTTCAATACGAATGTCAGACAATTGAACTGTTTTACGAGTATGTTGATCTGTTATTTATATCGAATTTATTGTTGTATTCTTATAAGGATATACCTGTTCGTTTTCTCAGGGTGGTCGCAAGACAGAAAATTTGAGTGTCGAGAAGGAGCTAGTGGATGATGAATCCGATGTGCTAATTGAATGTAGAGATATATACAAGTCATTTGGGGACAAGCATATCTTAAGAGGTGTGAGCTTCAAGGTGAGTTTCTTAATTATGCTCACAACTTGCTCTTACAGTTGAACTCCCGTAAAAATACACAATCCAGTTTGCTTGCTCTTTGTGGGTTGCGGTTTCAAAATAATATATTCAAGGGAATGCGTTAATCATGTGTTAAATATCGACAGATGTGATTGATGATTTGAACATCTTGAATCATTTGAAAATAGATTCTAACATTCGTGTCTTTTTTTCTCTCCTTGTGGTGTTTCGTATTTATCTCGTTATTGTGCTCAGCCTGTTTTTATTAGACTTTGGAGATTATTAACAGCCTAATTTCTTAATTACTTTTATTTTTACTTTATCTTTTGTCTTCTTTATCGATCCCAAATCGCAAATTTCTTCCTTGCATTTGAAGTGAAAATAAACGTAATTCTTTTTGTAGATTAGGCATGGAGAGGCTGTTGGGATTATTGGGCCATCTGGGACAGGTAAATCAACTATCTTGAAGATTATGGCTGGGCTTCTTGCTCCCGACAAGGTAATTATATTATTAGTATTATATATATATATATATATATATATATATATATATATACACATACACACACACACACACACACACACACACATATTTATGTCTTATTGTTAACTGAAGGTAGTGTTGCGAAATTGTAATGACTATGAATTTCTTCTTGTGATCTTTATTGATTATGATTAACAACAATTAGGGCGAGGTTTTTATCCGAGGTAGAAGACGACATGGTTTGATCAGTGACGAGGAAATATCTGGTCTTAGAATTGGCTTGGTGAGATTTTATTGGTGTATCTATATTTAGTATTGCTGTAATTCCACGTTTTTTTTTCTGAATTTATTTTCCTATGCGACAGGTGTTTCAGAGTGCAGCTCTTTTTGATTCACTGACAGTTCGTGAAAATGTTGGTTTTTTGTTGTAAGATACTAAGAGCCTTCTTTTGAGAAGACGAAAGGATTTGTGTTTGTCATAATCCCTCATATTATTCTCCGATTTCTCTGTGTTACAGATACGAAAATTCCACTATGCCCGAGGATCAAATTGCCGAGCTTGTGACAGAGACTTTAGCTGCCGTCGGATTGAAGGTGTGCATCTAATCTAACATCTATTTTTTTTTTCCTGAAAAAGTCATTATAAATATTAGCTAGCACGTAGCAACCGTTTAGATATTGAAAGCTGACCATAATGGCTTGAATAAATCAGTTTTATGAACTCGGAAACTTACAGAACATCATCTAGAAGAAAGCCAGCTTTATTTGTTTAATACCGTACATTAGAAAGGCTCCTTTATTAATCAATATCTTGGTTTAAATGAATGGTTTTTGCAGGGAGTTGAAAACAGATTACCTTCTGAATTGTCGGGTGGGATGAAAAAGAGAGTTGCTCTTGCTCGTTCAATAATATTTGATACAACAAAAGATGCGATAGAACCAGAGGTACAAAAGTGTTGCTCTCAATCTCCTCATTTTCATCTCTCTCTTTCGGTTGTTTTCTGTATAATAAGCCTTCGCTTGCTGATTTATGTTCTTGGTGTTCAATTAGGCCAGAAGATGATAAAAAAATTTCATTTACTTTGCAAAGCTAGTATAATTTCTCTAATTATTAATCGATTTAATTGAGCAGGTACTCCTCTATGATGAGCCGACAGCTGGACTCGATCCAATTGCTTCGACTGTTGTTGAAGATCTGATACGTTCTGTTCATATAAAAGGGGAGGATGCACTCGGGCAACCTGGGAATATCGCATCCTATTTTGTTGTTACTCATCAACATAGTACAATCAGAAGAGCTGTTGATAGGTAATTGATAATTGCTTCTCAAAACAACTTATAGTTTACTGTTTTTTGAGAAGTTGATGAATCTTTTCTTAACTCTCGTTTTTTTTTTCTTCTTTTGCTAGGCTGTTATTTTTATACGAAGGAAAAGTTGTTTGGCAAGGAATGACTCATGAATTCTCGTCTTCTACAAATCCGATTGTTCAGCAGGTATATCTTCATTTAAAATGAAGGATTGTATAATAATAACACACGATGAATAGAAACTTATCATTGTTAATATAATATCTTACCATTTGAGTTTATAATTTCAGTTTGCAACCGGGAGTTTGGATGGTCCGATTAGGTATTAGCCGAGACGATTCTTTATGCGATCGATCATTGACGATTTAGACGGCATTGCGTATAGTAAAATTTGGATCTTAAGCCCATAATATCAAAGTGGAGCGGAGTACACGAGTAAATAAGGTATACGGGCCGACCCGTATACCCAGTTTTGTTTGGTGGTATGGGGCCCTCCATCAATATGAGTTAAGTTACTATACCATGTCTATGTGAAATCAACCTCCAAAGATAAATGAATAATTCTTTTCTTTCTTATGTAGCTTGTTATATTTTACTATTATTTTTATTTATTTTTCTCTTTTATTTTCTATCTGTTTAGTGTAAATGTTTTGGGGTTTAGTTGCTAAGCAAATTTAAAGGAAGATCATATTTTTTATTATTAAGAGTAAATAGCACTTAACTACCCTGTAGTTTGAGCTTTGTACACATGACCCCATTGTACTTTTGATATATACACATAGCTCCCTGTAGTTTGAACTTTGTGCACATCACCCCCTTTACTTTTTGTATAAGCACATAACTCCCTATGATATACCATTTGATAGATAATCATGCACATTTGGAAAAAAAATTGAAAGGACTAAGGGTTATGTGGTTATATTAAAATACAAGGGGGTCATGTGCTATATTGAAAGTTCGGGGTTTTAATTAACTAACAAAGATGATTGTTATATTTTAGGGTAAATTACAACCACCCCTGCGGTATTCATCAAATTGTGGAAAACCCCTCATGTTTGATTAATTACAAATACCTTTCAACTATGAATTTTCTTACACGTTCATCCTTATGGTGTCAAATTCACATAATCTTCTAGATTCCGTCGAATGCTCTCTAGTTTGTTCACATTTTATGTAAAAAATGCAGTTTCTGATGCACCACAATCTGATATATACAAGCAAAAAACACATCTTATGATCATCTTACTTCAAATTGTGGAGCTCGAATAGGATAAACATGTACAAAATTGAAAATATTCCATATAATATAGAACATTACACTAAATTTCAGGGGTAGTTGTAATTACCTAAACACGAGGGATACAGATAGTGCGAAAAATACAAATACATATATACTTAAAAAAACCTTATAATTGCCACTTTTATATATAAATTTATTACTAAAAATATTCTTCAAATTTGGCATCTTTTCAAATTATATACTATATTTTACTTGGGGCCTTAAGATATAGGTCCCTAGTGACAAACATTATTAGAACTAAATGACAACCTTAACTAAACATTTGCTACACATCCTTCATAAAATTCATTCCAAAAATGCCCTCGTGCATTAAATATATTTTTATTTTTCCAACCAATATTTTTTTATACAAAACACGTTTAATTTTATTTTTCTTTCTATTTCTCCATCTTAGCAATTTTTAAACAATTAAAAAAATTTATTTTTTCTCTTCATAATATTGAAGATTACGAAAAATATATATATATATTTTTTTTTAAAATTCAATTTAAATATTTTAGATATTTTTTTTGATTTTATTTGTTGTTAATACTGTAGTATACTACGGTGTAGTGTAGCGTACTACGGGTTACAATAGAATACTTGTGCAATAGTATACTACGGTGTACTATAGGTTACTATGGTCTACTGTTACAAACCCTAGCCGCAAAAACAACTCTCAGCCATCGTTGAACCCTAGCCGTCAACAAATTCGCAGCCACCGCCGCCGCCAACTTCAATCCACCAAACCCTAGCCGCCAACCAAAACCCTAGCACCATCAAAGAGGCCTAGATGCAACCACCTCCCACCGTATACTAACCTCACACCACCGTCTCCAATGGTCATCTACCACCATAACCATCCGCTCTAATACACGACAACCGCTGCCGCTCTCAACCGTCATGAGCCATGTATCACAGCTGCAATTTGCAGATCTGTCTCCGACCGCCACCCACCACAACCACCATAATTGAGTGAGCGAGAGAGAGATAGATAGAGCGAGAGAGAGATAGATAGAGCAAGAGGGAGAGGAAGAGACAGAGGCGAGCGGGAGAGGGAGAAGAGGCGAGACGGAGAAGGAGCATAAAAAACAAAAAAAAAATCTGAGAGAAAGGAGAAGAAGAGGCGAGACAGAGAGAGAGAGGCGAGATAGAAAACCAAGAAATAATCTGAGAGGGAGAACCGAAAAAAAATCTGAGAGGGAGAAGGAGAAGAAGAAGGCGAGAGGGAGAGGCGAGATGCGAGAGAGAAAACAAAAATAAATCTGATTAGTTGAATAAACGTGGGATATTATATTTAGGGTATAAGGGCAAACTAGGGATAAAATAAAAATTAGGGATGTGGATCAAATATTATTTCAAAATAAGGATTTAATTAAAAGATTGAATTTAAGATTGTCATTTAGTTCAAATTAGGTTTCATTTAAGGGACTCTTAGCATATTAACCCATTTTACTTTGGGGTTATTCTGTGTTGTTTATTCAGCCGAGTTTCAAAATCCGATCTTACTTTAAATGTCACTTAAAAAAAACGGAGGGAAATAATCTCTCTCTCTCTCTCTTAAATGTCACACAATCTCGGTGTAAAAAAAAACACACACATCTCTCTCTCTCTCTATTTGGTATGGTATGAATAATGATAAGGATGAAAATACAAGTCAAAAAAGAATAAGCACCACATTTCTCTCTCTCTCTCTTCTTTCTCTCTCTTTCATGGCCCTTCCTTCTGCCATCTTCGTTAACTTTCCGAGTTCCAATAACACAATCCATGGCACCCAAATATTCTTCTCTTCTTCCTAATTGGATCACTCCCATTCACCTTCTCCTCATCCTGCTCCACTCTCTCTTATAGCAAACACATTCGCTATAATTTTTTTTTATTAATTTTTTTTTTCCTTTTTAGCCGAATTGAATTCTGTAAATTATCGCCGTAGAATAGCCTGATTGTGTCCGATTCAGTTGAATTTGTGTATATAGGGTTTCGATTGCGGATGGCGTCGGTGTTTCTGTACCATGTGGTTGGGGATCTGACGGTGGGGAAGCCGGAGCTGTCGGAGTTCTCGGAGACGGAGACGGTGGCCGCCGCCATTCGGACGATTGGGGATTCCTCCGAAGGGGGGATTCCGGTGTGGAGGACCAGATCCCCCAAGTGCGTGATGGAGAATGCCGAAACCAGGCAGCAGAGGTTTGTGGGGATTCTCAACGCGCTGGATATTGTGGCGTTCCTGGCCAGAGAGGACTGCTTGGCTAATCGGGATAGAGGCATCAACGCCCCTGTTTCCGAGGTGGTTGTTCCCGACAACGCCGCCCTTAAGGTGGTTGATCCTGGCACAAGGTTGGTTGCTTATTGCTTTTTATTATCGAAATTTACGAACATTTTTGTGTTTCTTTGCTTGTTAGTTACAGATTGCAATATGATATTTGGTGCTAAATGCTTATACATATGCTGGGAATCTACTGTTGTGAAAAAATGCTTGTGATCGAATCCTTTATGTTCTGTTACCTCTGTTTTTTCGTATTCATGAATGATTTGGCCGGTCGTCGTCTGACATTAGCCATAGTTAATGAAAGATGCAAATGCTCTAGAGTTATAGCGGTGACCTCTGCATCTTCTTTATAGCTCCCGACATAAAACTATGGTACTAAAAGCTAGCCCATAATAACCCTACTCGGGCCAGTCGTGCTAGTCTAAAGCTTTTATGCTAATAAAAATTCTTTCGGGAAAACTCCCTTGTAATGTTTCACCTCGTATCAATCTTAGGTTTTGATCATGTAGTCATTTCAGATGACATCAAAAGTCACAAGAAGCACCCGATATTGAGTCTCGTAGTCCCCGTTTAGTAAATCAATTTCTGTATGCTTGTCCTTCGTAAAAGAATAGGGACTAGATATTTTTCTAACTTCAACTTTTCAATGAGATGGTCATTCATTTATTTTCTTTTTCCTTCAATACTATGTACTCTCGGCTTTCTTTTCATCACCTGCTCTATCACTATCAGCCTCAAAAGTTAAATCCATCTATAACAGTCATTAAGAGTTCCCATCTTCAGTTAATGTCATCGCCGTTTGACTGGCTAAATGATACTCATATAGTATGTTATCATCTTCAATCGACTTTGCAGCAATCTTTTGGTGCCAAAAAAAAATTGCACTGTGATTTATCATAATGCCTTTAACTTTGTAAAGCAGGCAAGCATCTTCTGCACTTGGTTTTACAGAAGTGCTAGAAAGTGCTAGTCAAAATCCATTTCATTTTCTTGGCTATTGGTTGAAATTGTTCAAAGGGAGAAGATCACTTATATGGTAATGGTTTGTCTCTTGTCTGTGCATCCATTTGTTGTTTTTGAGGAATATAGCCCATGTAATGCATCAGCTTTGCGTAGCCATTGCCAGTAATTACATATTCTAATGTTAGACTACAATGTTTGATTTGCATAAAGATTAATAGATGCTCTGGAGATGATGAAACAAGGAGTGAAGCGACTCCTCGTGCCCAAGAGCTTATACTGGAGAGGAATGAGCAAACGCTTTTCCATTATGTACAGCGGAAAGTGGGTCAAGAACACAGATCCTGCTTCCGGAGGAAGCAGCACCACAAACACCTTATCCAACATCAGCAACCGTCTGCCGCCAGCTTCCTCCTCCACCTCCGCCACCCAAGACAAATTCTGCTGCCTCTCGAGAGAAGACGTGCTCCGTTTTCTAATCGGCTGCCTCGGTGCACTAGCCCCTCTGCCTCTCTCCTCCATCTCCTCCCTCGGAGCTGTCAATCCACACTACTGCTGCATCGAAGCTTCAATCGCAGCCGTCGATGCAACGATGATCCGCCACCATGATCCGTGCGCAGTGGCGGTGGTGGACCAAACTCCAGATGGCAATCATAACAAAATCATCGGTGAAATCTCGTCGGCTAGGTTATGGAAGTGTGATTATTTTGCAGCTGCTTGGGCTTTGGCTAATTTATCGGCTGGGCAGTTTGTTATGGGGGTAGAGGATAATATGTCTTCAAGAACCGAGCTTGATATCGCGCTTAATAAGATAGCCGAAGCGAATGATTTAGCTGCTAATGGTGGCGGACTGAGGAAACTTGGTAGTAGAACTATTGGGTTTTTCGGGAATTGGTCGAATCCAAATTTGGGTATCGGCAGGAGTATGTACCGTGGGAGGAGTGCACCGCTGACGTGTAAAGTGACGAGTTCTTTGGCGGCAGTTATGGCTCAGATGCTGTCGCACAGGGCAACTCATGTGTGGGTTACTGCAGAGGATGAACATGACGATGATTTAGTCGGTGTGGTTGGATATGCTGATATTTTTGCTGCTGTGAGCAGGCAACCTTCGGCAACTATTTCCGAGACACCCTCATCGTAAGAATTTTGTGATTTTTTATTTTTTATATATGATTTGATTTGTTATACGTATGAATGTGAGTTGATTAATGTTGGGATAATTGAAAGAGAGATTGCATTTTTTTGTTGAAACACTGTGATATGTGTAGATTGTGAGTTTTGGGTGATTGGGTTGAAACTTTGAAATGAAAGCCATTGGCTTGCTTTAAACTCTTGGGTTTTGGAAATCGGAACGGAATTTCCAAATTCTACCGATTTCGATTCGAAATATTCAATTTTGATTTCCGTCCAATGTTAATTCTATAGAACTAAAATGCTAAACGTCGTTTCAATTCTAAAATACATTTTAGGGCAAATTACGATCACCCCTGAGGTAAGGTATAATTACGAAACAACTCCTTGTTGTTTGCATAATTAACCATCCCCTCAACTATGTGTTTTCTTACACGTCCACTCTTACAATATCAAATATTAGCAAATGATCTCTCACACAATTATAAACAAAGGCTAACAAAACTAATAATGAACCAAAGCACTAAAATCAACAATACTCACTATCTTAATCCCACTCATCACTAACAACACACTTTCTAGAGTAAATTACAACGGCCTTCAGGTAAGGTCTATTTGCAAAAAGACCCCTTATTTTTCTACAATTACACATATCCTCTACATTTTATAGATTTCTTATATTAACACCCTTTTAAAAGAGGAGGATGCAAGAAATTTGCAAATTGCAGGGGCTTGGATGTAATTTCTCAAGAGTAAGTGTTTTTTTTTTTTTGTTTTTTTTTTTGTATGTAGAGCGTATCTAAGGAGGTTGTTGTAATTTATCCTAATTTCTAAAAAACATTATTATTCACTTCAAATTAAATGTTATCTTTATCATCCATTATACTACAGTTAAACCTTCATAAATTAATATAGTTGAGACTAATAAAATAATTTAACAAAATATTAAATTATTGAACTAATAATTTAATATGTTTACACCGAGTTTAAACCAGAATAAATTATTATTTAAGCAAAACTATAAATTTATCGAAGTTCTGGATTATCATTACAATAATAAACTATAATCATTTAAGACAATAATAGCCTCTTCTAAGTAGTGCTGCCATTGTTGCTTCCAGCTAAGCTTTTGCTACTTCAAGAAAATGCAACCAAATCTAGAGATTGCTGCCCCCACCAATAATTATAAACAATTACTACAACAATTAAATTATTATAATTAAAAAAAAAAAAACAAATATTCCCTTCCACACATTCATCAAGATAATAATAATAATAAAAATTAAAAATAAAATTAGATATGGCATCCGAAGCAATTACAAGTCTTGGGAGTGAAAGAGCAGAAACCAAAGGGCCTGTTTGGTATGTTGCAATTGATTGCATAGCAACACGGTGATGGCAAACAGTAGCTTCTGCTTTCTCCTCCTCCGCCGCCGCCGCCGCCGCCGCAGCAAGTACACAATGAACAAATCTGAAAACTTTCCAATTTCCTCCTCCTTTCCTCCACCCCCACCACCACCACCATCTCCGCTTTCCCCTCCTCCACTAACGGCACCATCTCCGCCGCCGGCGGCGGCCCATCTCCCTGCAAAATCAAGAAAACACTAATTAACACCATCAAGACTCAATTTTTTTTTCAAGAAAGATCTATCTATATATTAAATAATGAGAGAGAAAGAAACCCTTTTTGCACACACCATTGATAGTTTCATTTGATAGAGAGAGAAACAAGTGAATAAGACAAGGAACATAAACCAAGAAATCCCACCACCACCACCACCAACTAAACGCATCTTTTTTTTTCCCTTTAAATTTGCTTATGTTTGAGTATGTGACTATGGAGAAGAAGAAGTGGGGGAAAATGGGGGATGGGTTTTGTTGTGTGTAGCAATATTACTAGCTAATGGAATCTTTTTTTTCACTGGTTTAATTTTAGGTGTGTGAACATGCATGTATGTATCTATATATGTATCTATATGTATCTATATATATCGATCCCTAATAGAGTAGAGTGGGTAGGTTGGGAAATGTATTCAACAATCAAGAACAATTCTTGAAAATGGAGTCTGCATTCCACATTTTTTTTTGATGGGGGAGAATAGAGGAAAATGGGATAAGAGAGGTAGTGAATGCAAATCTAGACAATTGTATTTTAGTTTGATTCAAGAAAAAAAATAAGAGAGAAAAAGAAAAGGTAAAACATAAAGAAAGAGCACTGTTCTTTTTTTAATCATTTATACATAAAAAGGAATATTTAATGTCGCATTAAGAACTAGGGCAAATTATGACCAACAACTCAGTAATTGGTTAAATTACGAAAACCCCTCTTCTGTTTGGGTAATTACAGTTACCCTCCTCAATTATGTATATTATCTTGTGAAAATACCCATCCAGAGGTGAATTTTGGGATGTTAAATCGGTAAAAATTGAATTGAAATTTCGATACGTCAACATTTCATCCATTTAGCAAATTAAATATACGATTTGGTTCGATAAATAATCGAATTAAATAAATTTCATGTAAAAATAGTCAAAAGGAGGAGATGACTGTAATTATCCAAACATGATGGATTTTTTCGTAATTTAATCACGTCTTAGGGGTGGCCGTAATTTGCCCTAAGAACTATTATAAGGACGGAGGATATGTAATAATAAATAAGGTAAATTACGGCCACCGTAGGACCTTGAAGTAAGATTAAATTAAATTACAAAAAACTCTTTCTTGTCTGTGTAATTACAACTACCCTTCAACTATGAATATTCTGACACGTTTATCCTTATGGTGTTAAAGGCAAGGAATCTTTTAGGCTACGTGTTCAATTTGTACTTGTTTTGTGCAAAAAATGCAGTTTCTAATGCACCACATTCTGATATTTACAAGTCAAGAGACACATCTTATGATCGTCTTGTTTTGTGGAGTTCGAATGGGGTAAAACGTGTGCAAACTGGAGAAGATTCCAGTAAATTTGACAGCGCAAGAGTGGACGTGTAAGAAAATTTAAACTTGGGGTGATTGTAATTTGAGTTTTACTCACATCTCGAATAAATTCAAGAACATATTCGAAGAAATTCTGACCCCCAGTCGGAATGGTTTGTGGGTTCCGAACAACTATAGTAGCTGAACCTAATAAGATAGCAATTACAACCCAAGAAGTAATAAGTACTTGGCCATGAACTTGGAAACCCCCTATTTGCCAATAGAAATGTTGGCCTACTTCCACGCCGGATATGTCGTATAACCCTTTTAGTGTGTTGATGGAACATGATAGCACATTCATATTGCCCTCTGTCGAATTTTAAACAAAATTATTTTGATTCAACCATCTCTTTGTCTACTTGAATCGGATATTTAGAATACCAATTTTTATTTGGAATACTAACTAATCACATAATATCCCCAGTTATTTTTATCTATTTAAAAAAATTCATAAATCAAAAAATCAACCATTCCATAAATCTATCGGATTTTCGAAGGAAAAGTGATTTATCTTATTATTAATCAAGGATTTCTTATATAGCTAGAACGGCCCTCACAAATTGCGAAGACTAATTTGTTAAGAATTAAGCGGATTGAAGATATAGCGTCATCGTTCGATGGAATCGAAATATCTGCAAGATCAGGGTCAAAAAGCCACGTTTCCAGACCAAGTAATATATATATATATATATATATATATATATATATATATATATATATTGGAGTGTTTGATCAATTTACTATAAAAAAAGTGGGCCATTTTATAAATTCTAACATATTTTAATATTAAAAAGAAAAAAAAGAAACGCGCATTATGGTGAAGTCAATAATTTGGGAGGACCTATAAATAAATAGAAACAAAATTAGAAGAAGCAAAAATCCCCAAATTTCTTCACTTCTGACCTACAATTTTTCATCCATTCGCAGAATCGATCGTGAATTCATCACATCATCGTTTTACAGTGAGCAGATAAATCATGGCTAAGAGAACCGGTGCGCCGGGGATGATCGGATTCGACGGCGTCCGCCGCCGAAGGGAAGAATCGTCGTCGTCGTCTTCGCCATCGTCATTTTCAGCACCGTCGTCTTTGTTGACTCGGGGCGTCAACTCGGTTTTCACCTTCGTCCGCTTCGCCGAGTTCGAGATTCTCTTCGTCCTCTTCTTCCTCGTTGCTTTTCTCATCTTCAAAGATCTGGTTAGATTCGTTCTTTGCTATTTCCATTTTGTTTTTTTTTTCCTTATGCTTTTTGAATTTTGATTGTGGCTGAGTTATGCTTAGAACACTCTGTTATGTTTTAATTCTTCGAATTTAGCTGGAATCAAGGATTTCTTTGCATCATGTTAAAACTCTCAAATCTCAATTTAAGCATATCAAATCCATCAATGGTGATTCGACTCAATTTCCATGCATATAGAGTTGGGATAAATTCTGTGAAATTGCTTCATGATATTAAGATTTTACCTTCAATCGTATTCGACGAGATGATTTTCTTTTGGCTTGCTACAGAAAAAAAAAAGTTTGATTGTTTCGGCATTCAATCGTAAAAATCAGCTCATAATCCTTTACTCGTACTTATTCAATTGGAAGTCTTTTACGACTTAGATGTTCGTATTTCCTCGAAAAAGTGATTAGATCGATGGCATTTGGTATATTACGCATTTGGTATATTACGTATTAATTTGACCCATAAGCGGTACTGCTATTACGATATCAAAATTCGATAAGAGATTAATGCTAAGTGTGTTTTCATCCCTATCGATTTGCACCCCCTTCGTATGTTATTGTATATCCAAATCGTGCATTTGCCTTGTAATTAAGTTCCACCTGCATTTTCTTATATCTTAAAATATGTATCGTGCAAATTGATTTTTCAATATCGTACCATTTATGCGGCTCGAGAGTTTACGTAACCATCTGCCTTGAATGTTGACCAGACCTCAAGACCGGAATACAATGACATTCTCGTGAGGAAGCCCGGTGGAAGTGATTGGGGATCTTAGTAGACTGAACGGTTATTCGCGTATCGCAGCCACATGTGCGAGTCTTTACGTTTAGATTAAATTGTTCGTTTGTTATTTTGTTTTTTCCCATGTAAAAGTTGACATTTTTGTGACAGAGGTTTAAGGATGATCTGAAGGACTCCTTTCTTATAGCACAAGAGGGGTTTTCTTCTTCATGCTTGTTGACATTATCGTTATCGTATATATAAACTTGTATCTATTTTCCCATTTGCTGGATAAACTGAATCCCGAACTAATGGTGCATTTGAAGGAAAATTTTGAAATGAAAAATGAGTCCAAATGGAGAAATTTCCATCCACCAAAATTGTTTAAAAAACGATTAACAATGAGAGTTATAAATTTTATGGTAAATTACGAAAACCTCCTTGAACTTGGGCTAAATTATGAAAAACACCTCATCTATCTGTAATTGCCGAAATTCCCCTGACGTTTGTTTTCGTTTTACAACGACCCCCTTATGGTGTGATTTTTCATGGAAACTTTTTGATTCCAAAGAATATACACGTAAAAAAGTACCGATTATACACGTAAAGACGTAGCAGATTGAAGGTAGCCATGCACAAATATTTAAAAAATGTCCATGTATGCGATGGTGGTTCATACTAGCAATCCAGAAAGTTGTGGTATTGCAATGTGATGTTGCATAAATGAGGTTGCCGCTGAAGGTATACCAAGACCATTTATATTTTCAGGAGATATTCCCTGAAAAAAAAAATTTGCATGAAAATCACACCATAAGAGAGTCGGTCAAGAAAGGAAACAAATATCGGGGGTTTTAGTAATTAAAGATAGGTGAGGGCGTTTTTTTGTAATGTAACATAAGTTCAGAGAGGTTTTCGTAATTTACCCATTATTAATTGATGGCATAAGGGGTCCTTGTATAATTAGATCAACTCCAAAGGAGGCAATCATAATTAATACACCCAATTTTCAATTATAATTAGGGCAAAATACACTTTACCCCCTTGTACTATGCCTCACGTAACACTTACCCCCTCGTACTATGTAAAATACACTTACCCCCTTATTTTAATGGTCAAACTATTTGACTTTTAACGGTGTTAGTAGAAAAATAAATTTAATATAGTTTTAACAATTCCTACTAAATGACACATTTTTTTATTTAAAAAAATATTACATGTAGTATGGATAAATTAAATAAATATTTAAGATAATAATATTTTTAAATTTTGATTAAATAAGAAAACTATTATTACTTTTTAATCATTCGTAAGAAATGACACCTTATTTTTATTAAAAATATATATTTTCATTGTGGATAAATATATTAAATAAATATTTAACATGTATACATTTTTAAATATAGAATTAAAATATTTAATCATTAAATATTTATATTAAAAATTATAATTCTACAGTAATATTTTTGAACGATATATGCTAATGATTTATTTTATTTATTTGAACATCAAAATTCACTTAAGCCTTTTACATTTAGGATTCACTATACGGAATTTAATGTTACAAATAAATATTAAAAATTCAATGTACACAATGTTTAATGAGTTAAATAATTTAATCCAAAATATGAGAAATTATACTTGCTACTTGGTTGTATAAAATAATATATGAAAAATTATATTATCTAAATATTAATTTTTAATATAAATATTTATCAAGTAAATTATATTTAATTCAAAATTTAAAAAGGAATTGCTATCTTAAATACTTATTTAATATATTTATAGTACGTGTGATATTTTTTTAAATAAAGAAAATGTGTCCTTTAGTAAGGATTATTAAAAATATATTAAATTTATTTTACTTCTAACACCGTTAAGAGTCAAATATGTTGACCGTTAAAATAAGGGGGTAAGTGTATTTTTCATAGTACGAGGGGGTAAATGTTACATAGGAAATAGTACAAGGGGGTAAAGTGTATTTTGCCCTTATAATTATACATATTTTTATATTTTTCTATTATATTTTATATTATATTATATACAATAAATCTGTTTTAATCAACTTTTAAGACTATCAAATGTGATTCTTCCTACCGCAGTTGTGACCCTCTCCATCGCCGCTCAAGTACCGGACGCGCCGTCGTCACTATACCGGCGGAGCAACTACTGCCATGGCTATTGAATGCCTTGTCCTAGGTAAATAAACAAAACAAACACATTCTGAAAAAAATTCTAGTATCTCAAACTTCGTACTCTTTCTGTTTGATGAAATGCCTCAAAGACAAAGAGTGCATTTCTCCTCTCCCTGACAATCCATATAAATTTGGCAGGCGCAGGACAAGATGTTGGGAAGAGCTGCGTGATTGTGAAGATAAACGGTAAGAGCATAATGTTCGACTGCGGAATCCATACAGGCTACCAAGATCACCGCCGATACCCCGACTTTTCTTTGATTTCGGCAAACTCCGGTGACTTTACTGATTCACTCTCATGCATAATTATCACACACTTTCATTTGGATCACATTGGAGCCCTACCGTATTTTACTCAAGTTTGTGGCTACAATGGCCCCATTTACATGACCGTATGTTTTCGGAACTTGTTTCGTTTGTTTAGATTTTTTCATTCACCTTTTGTGTTTGCTTATAAAATTTGGTTCTCTGTGATCGATTTCCTTTTTAATGAACCAGTATCCGACAAAAGCCCTGGCTCCAATAATGCTTGAGGATTATCGGAAACTGATATTTGAAGGAAGGGAAGAGGAAAAGCAGTTCAGTTCCGAGGATATTGCTGAATGTATGAAGAAAGGTACATGATTTAACTTCCTTCCTTCTTGTAAGTTATAGTCTTGTTTTTTTTGTGAACTCGAGCATAAAAATTGAGGCGATTTATGTTACCAGTATTATATTCAAAAAAATTGTCCTTAGAGTGGGAATACCTGCAACATAATTATTTTACTTGTTTTCAACATTAAGACAAAATAATTTTATCTTAGATTCGAATATAAGATAAACAGGAAAGGAAATTTTTGAATTAAGGCATCCACATGACCACACTGTTTTCAATTCAATCCAACTCATGCGACAGCAAGTAAAAACTGTACTCCGTGCACAGACTTTCGTCTTTCTTCGATGATTGGACTTGAAACTTTACCTATCTGACAAGCTAAACTTAATACATAAGCAATACATATATATTTTTTTTTGGAGAAGCTTGTCCTTAACCAGCCTCAGTTGCGTTTGTGATCTCATAGAATTTCGGTCCTCTTTGTTTCTTTTTAATTCAATCATTTCCTTAAAGCTATTCTTTGTCTCTTGGTGACTCCTCAGATTCAAGAGTATGTTTGAGGAGTCAACTGTAGCACACCAGATAATGTGCCTCCTATATCAACTATTGCATTAGACACTTGTTTCTTAGTTGGGCTGGTCTTACTTTCTTATGTAAGTTCTGTTATTATTCAGTCGTTCTGATGAACTGTGTACTAAATTGTGAGGCATAGTTATTGAGGCTTAGGGTAATTAGGAACCCTAAATGGTACCTTTTTAATAATTATAAAATTGATGCTGGACTTGAGAGATACATTGCTTGATTTTGTGAGGGTGTCTGTTTGTTGTGCTCCTAAATCATCTTATTAATGCACTTTTTACTCGTGTTTCTGCAACACAGTCACTGCAGTAGATCTGAAGCAGACTATTCAGGTTGATAAAGACCTCCAGATTCGTGCATATTACGCAGGGCATGTAAGGTTTCTGAAACTTTTTCCTTCGAACACACACATGTTCAGTGCTCCCATATATAATTGTGCACCAATGCATTCTACTTTTATGGAGTGATCTATTAAACTTGTTAGTCTTAGGAGTAAGGGTTAACATGTCATAAATGTAAATATATCTTTCCATTAGCTCATTATATACCGAGAGTTGAAAATTAAATTAATCCAAAAAATCCATTCAACGTGGAATAAATACCAAATGGTATTGGAAATGAGTTGTCCTAAGGCTCACGCAGTATCAATTCGCAGGAGCCAGCAGGCCACGGGTTAAGAGAAAAATTGGAAGGCACATTCCTACCCTATGAATTTCTAGTCGTCTGTTATATTGATAGAAAAAATAAAAGTAACTTGAGAGTACAAAACTACCCTTGATGAATTGATATTATGTCCATCTGATGTTAAGTTGTGAACTTGTATATTTTGAGACTTACGGTCTACCCTACGAAGACATTACACCATGGCATCCTTGTCCTTCAACTAACTTCTGACAGGTGTTGTTGCAGTATCCTATTTTGCTTATATCGTGGTACTATTTGTTAGAACACCCGAAACAGACTTGAAACCATTAGTAATAAGTTGGTTCTATATGAAATGAGGTTCTCTCTTGGGATTAAGGATTTGTTGTTTTCTCCTTCAAGGGTTTATGTAGTATCCTGCATGTTTTATTCTAATTTTGAACTTTGCGTTGTTGTAACAAAGCCAATCAACCTTGCAACAAACTTTCAAAAATTGTAATTTCGAAGTTTATATCTGTTCGTCAGATGTTTTTTTGTATGAATTTCGTGCTTTTTTTTCTTCTGAAAAGATCTCCATTTTTTTATCCCATAATCTTTAAAACATGATTCTTAGGTTATTGGGGCTGCAATGTTTTATGCCAAAGTGGGAGATTCTGCCATGGTGTATACTGGGGATTACAACATGACAGCTGATAGACACCTTGGAGCAGCTCAAATTGACCGACTGCAGCTGGACCTTGTTATAACTGAGTAAGAGTGCACTGATTATACCTTACTAATTATAAATTGTGATGATTGTTGTTTGTTTGGATGTACGTGGTTGGTCCCATGGACATAGTTCTGGTCTTTAATTTACGCAATGTGAAATGTATTTCATAGGTCTTTTATGGTTTGTGCGTACATCTCCCATTCTTCATTCTGTATGCAGACAGTTGCCTGATCTACGTGTATAATATTTATATTAAAGGCAACCTCCAAATGTTGTGTTGGACAGGTCGACCTATGCAACGTCATATCGTGATTCAAAATATGTTCGAGAGAGAGAATTTCTGAAAGTGGTACGGATCTTCAATCGATTGCATTTCCTTCGCTTGATATGTTTTATTATTCTATTTTTGTACTCACCTTTATCATTGTCCCATGAAAGTATAATTTACTACTTTTAGTTGTCGGTTTTTTGTTTCTTTTATACTCAGTGGAACTTATTTGATTCTTACGTTGCAATTAACATGATGAAGATGGAATATCCGATAGAGTCTCATTCCTCATTACGATCTTCAAAAAACATATGTTTGAAGATACAGTGTACTTAATTTCAACCAGGAATTCATCAGGCAACAATTTCCAAATTTTCTGAACTTTTTTGGAATGAAACTAGAACTAGTTATTCACTACCGAACACCATAGATTATTTCCAAAAGTGCTAGTTCGCCCCTAATTGTTAACCCGCTAATTGGGAAGAGCAACTAGGGGGAACCACATAAACAAAGGAAATAAATGACGGAGGGAGATGCAGTGAATCAAAATGGAAAAAAATGTCATGGTATTTATACTACATCCGTAATACAATCAAACATCCCAAAATATCACAATTAACATCCTCTTATAAATGATAAACATTACAATGGAATCTTGTTTTTTCATATGATATCTTTTATTTCATAATATGCATCTGATTTACTTTAATTCACATCACTGATGCTTCTTGCAGGTGCACAATTGTGTGGCTGGTGGGGGAAAGGTTCTAATTCCGACATTTGCTCTTGGGAGAGCTCAGGTCTTTTCTTTACTTCATCACCAATTTTATCTCGGTTTTAGTTTGATATATCTTAGCAAGTGCAGTTCAATTCACTAGAGTGAGATAAGAAATATATGTAGTTTATTGTTGGTAATTTATCTAAAGAGTCTGTAGTTCTTTCGGTAGACTGAAACTCTGATAAAGAGAACACATTTCTTGTAATGCATGCATGACAAAAATATCCTGCAGGAGCTCTGTATGATATTAGATGACTACTGGGAGAAGACGAATCTTAAAGTGCCTATATATTTCTCAGCAGGTACGTCTTCACTAGTGCCTTACTGTATTACTTGTTCGGTTTGTGTTTTGGCCAATGCTATGCTACATCTGTACAAGCACTAAGTGGTGCTAGGCATATATAAAGTCACAATTATGGACCAAGCAAAAGATTTTTAGCTCCACTCCTGCTGAAATTCTCGCAGAATAGATGATAGGATAAGCTCTCGAGTCTCATTTATTATGAGTCCTAATACGCGTGTGTGTGTATTAATTCAGATTGTGGAGATGTTAGCAAGGCATGCACTGCAAAAGAAATAAATAGTCATTTATTGTTGCTTTTATTTTATTTTATTTTTTATATGTCGCCTTGCTTGACATAAAACTTTTTCATATGGCCCTAAATTAATGCAGATACTCTTTCGAACAATAGGCAATAAGTGATCTGTCTTTATATACTGTCAATAGTTATATATTATACACCTATGAACTTGATTTTATTGTAAACCTTCGATTAATTGGAATTCTTTACAGACAGGATACAAGATTTTTTGTCCATCTATAAAGTTCTCAAGCCAGTGAATTGTTGATCGTACTACTGACCTGTTTAGTTGGATTCATTCTCAGGTTTGACCTTACAAGCAAATATGTATTATAAAATTCTCATCAACTGGACTAGCCAAAAGGTCAAAGATACTTATACTACACGCAATCCATTCGACTTCAAAAATGGTAAGTCTGCATCTTTCTGAATTGGCAGAATCCCAAAAAGAACTCAACTGTATGACGGCCTAGTTACCTGCTTTTTAAGTAGGCAAATATTACAACACATTGAAAATATGATGTGAATACATTAAAATGCCTCGTTGGAAGTAGAACTAAAATCCGATAATACAGTCTGCAGTTTCGATCGTTCGTTGATACACGCCCCCGGACCATGTGTTCTTTTTGCTACACCGGCAATGATAAGTGGTTTCTCACTTGATGTTTTCAAGCTGTGGGCTCCAGATGAAAGGAATCTTGTAACACTAACTGGGTATGTTTTTCATTCTTACTGATTATGAAATTATTCAGATTTATTAAGAAAAGTAGACAAGTAATATATCTTACACCTCAGAAATCTCTCTTTCATAGCTGTCATTCTACCTTTTTTTTTTTTGGTTTCAATGTTTGCAACTTCGACTTGTCTTAATCCTTCTCGGGAATCTTTCATCAGATATTGTGGATCTGGAACTATAGGACGCAAACTGATGGTAGCCAAACCACCGACCCGAATTACGCTCGATGACAATGTCCAACTCGATGTGCGCTGCCAGGTTCTTGTTCTTCTCATTATCTCAGTTGAAATAAATTTCCTTTTTAAAACTTTTATTTCATTTATCTGGATATGAAATTTCCTTTTGTTATCCGAATGTGTGTCACAATTCAATATCTTTCTACATTTACATCTAATTAACATTTAACAGTGTCCCAACTTTTATTTCCCCCCTCCAGATTTATCAACTATCTTTTAGTCCTCATACCGATGCCAAAGGAATCATGGATCTCGTAAAGTTTCTCTCCCCGAAGCACGTGATTCTTGTACATGGAGAAAAGCCTAAAATGGTCAAGCTGAAAGAAATAATCGAGTCTGAATTGGAAATTCCATGTTACCATCCAGCAAACCACGAAACTTTGCACATTCCTTCGACTCGTCGCATTGAAGCCAGCGCCTCGGATGCGTTTCTGCAGAGTTGCCTGTGTCCAAATTTCAAGTTTTTGAAAACCGACCCTAGACAAGATTCTGAATTGGACGATGACTCCAACAACAAGAGAAAAATGCCTCAGTTGCAGGTTTGTGAGAATAGAGTGGCTCAAGGGTTGTTAATAACCCTACAGAAGAATCAGAGTCGAAAAGTAGTAACTGAAAATGAATTGATTGACACCATAGGAACAGAAATTCATGAAGAGAAGTTTGCTTACTGTTGCCCTATATACTTTCCCAATTCGGAAAGTAGAGATATATCTTCGTTCCACCTTATATTATTCGGAAAGCTTTCCAGAGAATTTCCGGATCTTAATATACAAGATTGCGAAGATGTTATACGAATTCAGTCGTTTGTCGGATCTTTTTGTTCGAAGGCAAAGTGCCCTTACAGGACTGATGTTAGTTTTCAGAGTGTATTGGACACTGTACATTTCTGCTGCGCGTGGTCAATGGGAGATGAAGAGCTTGCTTGGAGAGTAATTTCAACTATGAAAAATTTGAAGTTGAGCGATCGCATAGAGACGTAAAAAGAAAAAGCTTAGTATTAAATCTTTGGTCGATTGGCGGATTATTTATTAGTCCTGTTTATTTAGCTCATAGGTATTTCTTGACGTATCGAATATTTGAGAAATATATTTACCTTTGAAGACAGCAATTTACATGGAGTTATGGGGTCCAAATTGTCGTTGAACCATAGGTTGACAACTTGATAGAGCCTACCAACTGATTGGATATCCATTTCTACAGCTCAGTAACAATCACCGTAAACGGCAACACGCACAATGGCCCCTAGGTCCGAGATTGAGACGTGTTACAAGAATGACAACTGCACCTAAGCAACCAAAATGCATAAATACGAATGTTACAGCTACAAGTGGATAGAAATATTCTACCGAAGTAAATAACAAGTGAGTCGTTCTTCTCTTCTTGTGGCGTTTCTTTTCCCTGATAGCTTTTTACTTGCTCTCTTTGACTCGAACTGGATGGATAAGATTTTCTCCCTAGCCTTCGTAATAATAACAGTCAGACCCTTAGTAGTACAATAGAAACAAGAGAATTTAGTAATCGCATATACGATTGGATGAGATATAATTCTGGTGTGTTTTTGAGAAGGCCGATGCCGAGCGAGCCAGATGATCCCTGCTGAGAAAAGAAATGTTCAGAAGAGACTGTCAAAGTGATACAAAGATGTTAGAACGATCGCTTGTCAGAGAAAAGATGAAACTTCCATTACTGCCTTTTAACAAATGTGACAACATTTGCAGATTTATACAACAAAAGCAAATTTAAAGAAGTCAATCTAGTCAACTGAACTGTATCTTCAGATAAGCAGATTAACTCGGAGCTGAATTTTGTACATCTCCAGACTCCAGCTACGGAAATGAATTTACATGACGCTGTTATTTATTTATCTTCCAAAAAAAATTGGAGAAGGCAATAACTTAGTTGCACTTGGATTATCACTCTGATTCGATGTTATTATCACCCGAGGATTTCTGTCTTGCCTCTGACAAAGAGAGCCGTCTGTTATTTGTGGAGCCTGCTTCTACAAGCCCATCTGTAGAGTAACTTAATGCAACAGTTCCTTGTGATGATGCCAAAAAATGACGAATAGCTGGCGAGTCGGTTGACGGTGATGCAGCAGCATTGTAAGCAAAAACCCTCATTGGGTGGTCAAACTTGCAGCTTGGACCAAACTTGCATATTCCATATCGGGAGTAGAATACACACAGAGGCTCCCCCTAAACCAACAGACGAGAAACAAAATATATGTGACCAAGAACTGCTAAATCAATTTCAACAAATAGTAAAACATGTTAGATCCCAACCAAAGAAACAATAGAAAGTACAAGTTTCTTTCGTCTTTATCCAGTTTCGTTTCTGTATTCCAGACGAAAAAAAAGTACATCTCTTTCTTCTTCACTATTCTTCATTTCCTCTTGTTTTTCACTCCTCGCTATTATTTGTCTTTGCAATTAGAATATATAAAGCATAAATAACGTCATCTAACTCGGGTACACTGGAAGGAAGCCCGTTTTAGAAATATTAGATGTAAAGATCTGGTTTGACTTACCGTCCGTAAAGGAAGTCCAATTGGACTCAAGACACAGTCAGGAACAGGCATAAGTCTTTCTCTGGGGTGGTGAAATTTACACACTGTACCAAATTTGCAGTCACCGGTCTTCATATAGAATTGGCATTCCGGTTGACCCGGTCTCTCAGGAAATACATTGTCTCTTTGAAATGCATAATATCCCATGGGTACAGAACCGGAATGAAATTGAGATCCCGTATTTCTAGATCCACCCTGTTGTGACGCACCATCACTCTGGCCGTTTCCTGTTGTAGGTTGTTGGCTTTCCGAAGATAAAACTGAACCCATATGACCCTGGAAAGAAAACCACGGGCCAGTAAAATTCAGGCTTTCTATATTTCACGTCTTTTACATAAGTTGGTTTTAAAGCAAAACACGTTGAGTGGTCTCAGTGTATGAAGATCAAGATTCAGTAACATGAAACACATGCTGCTACATCATGATCGTTTTACTCAAAAAGAAAATTTTCTCACTTCTGATCTCTTTACACTCTTCTCTCGTGCTTCTCGTTACATTCTTCAGTTAGTTTTTTTCCATATGAAGGGGTGATTGATGTATGAGGTTTGGCCAGTGAGTGATATGTCAGATCTTCACAACAATCAGGGAAGGACAGATATTCTTCAAAATATGTGCGAAGAATTTACCAAAGGGACAGAGAATCAGAGGCATAATAAACCCACAACACACTCGAAGAAAAAACGAAGAAGCAAAAAGCATGGTGAAAATAAAATCATCAGGAAGATTACACTGTATGCGTTCCATCCTGGTACAGATACCACTCCCTGGGGCATAACCAGCTGTGTATAACTTGAAGGGCTTTGCCACCGTGGACTGGCTATAAAAGAAGCTCTTGACAGCGGATACGACAGCTGGCTGGTTGTCGGAGACTGGATTGGAGGATATACAGCAGAGCCACGTAAAGAGACCATCATATTAGATGGCTGAGGATGGTGGAATTTACAAGTGCTCCCGAATTTGCACTGTCCGTTTCTCATATAATACGCACATTCCATCTCGTTCTGTGAGCAATAACAGAAAGTAAAACTAAATTAAAATACACTGATTTAAAAATGGTGTTTCGTTATAGAATTTACTTTATGTGATATAAATCAGACGATAAAAACAGTGGGAAAAGGCAAACTCATTCAAATTGCTTTATTTTTCATGCCTTGAACTAAACTTAGAAAACATCAGTAAGAGGAAGATGAAGATAAAATGAGCGAACCGCGCGGATTGGATATCCCAGAACATTTAACGCAACTCTTCCAGCGATTCCAGCTTTCTCTCTAGGATGATCAAATTTGCATGTGGCTCCAAACTTGCAAGTCCCCGTTTTTAAGTAATACTAGAGAAAAGAGATCAAATGCCCAAATCAACATAGTAATAGGAAAATTGAATAGAAGCAATAGCACTAACATTCAAATATCAAGTTGAAGTGACAAAATGTAGCAAATCAAAACGTGTAGAATCTTCCAAGATACCAATATACGATACCATAATTGCAAAACAATTATGTGACACACGGGAGCAGAAAACATGGAGACCGCCACTTCGTAACATAATTAATACCAGAAAGGCAGAAACACTTCGCAAAAGTGAAATTTAAGCATTTGCATGAGATGTTGAACCAGTTGAAGAAATGTTCATGACACGAGTTGAATACGAGTTTGAACCAATAACTGCTTGAACATGTTCGACAACTTATAGTGCCACGAGTAGAGACAAGTGCAGAGTAAGTGCAAACCTGACATTCAGATTGTCCCATTCTTTCTGGATACTCGCCTTTCATCTTTGCTGTGGCAATAGCCTACAATTGAGTGCTGAGAAGTTATCACACTATGGTATACCAACAAAGAACTGAAAAAAACGACAGTCGGAAGTGCATGTTTACTTCCCAAAGTATTTGAAACAGAGTTTAGTTCAGTTGTTTCCTTCTTTAACGAACATGTATAAGCATTTCCATCTACTTAAAATATAATATACCTCGCCAAACAAATGATGGCCGTAGTTCAAGATTATAGAGACACAAACAAAGATCTGTACCCCATACCAGTTTCCTGTTAGGAGGGTGATTAAATCGGCAGGTCGCCCCAAATCTGCATAGGCCTGTCCGGATGTAGTACGAACAGTCTGGTTCATCTTCACGCACCGGGTAGAGTCCGGAATCCATTGGTTCCGATGATTTCATGTTCATTTGCCATAAAGCATCTGAAAGTATTAGATGACATCAGTTTGAAACTCGACTCTCATTTACACGAAGTATAACTGTCGTTCTCTAATAAGGCTGTTCTTTCATATAACAAGCGTAAAGAAGAGTGTCCAGCTTGGAAATCCAATTTTGGACATTACCACCACATTCTCAAAATAGAAGGTTCATAAAAGGAAGATATTTACTAAATTGATGACATCATTTTTCGATCTAAAACAGAGGGTTGTGTAAAATGGAAAGATCTAGAAACGATTAATGACATGGCAAACCACATTTTCACTAACATATTTGGGCTAAAATGACAACTAAATCACCAGGATTCACCACCTTGACACAAAGAATAACACAGTCAAATACATTTTTATAAAACCACAATCTTATACATGCAAACAATTGATATCGATCGATCGCCAACGAAATATTATTACAAGTCAGATGTAGAACATGCGATGAATTTCAAGCGCCAATCGCAAACGATTGCATTTGATTAATTAAAAAGGGTAAATAAACACATAAATTCAAAAATATATATATAAAAACAAAATTGTAAGGAAAAGGAAAGTCAATGCTGACGAACAACGCGATCATGCCTAAACACGCCTCAATTCGTAACGAAATTATAAATAAATATCGCTACAATACACGCAATCAGCTCACATAAAACAGATTAAAAAGCGAAGAACGGAGGGGGGGGGGGGGGGGGGGGCCTTTGGGGGGGGGGGGGGGGGGGGGGGGGGG